CTTTTTTTTTTTTTTTTTTTTTGTGCCAGGCAAGCACAAGCAGTGGAACCACTGAGCTAAATCCCTGTCCTCTTTTACCTCTAAAAGTAAAACAAGGAGCTAGTGACCACTCGCTTTGTTATTCATTTAGTCTTTCTTTAGTGCCTGTAATATATATGTTATTCTATACCTTATGGATTTAAAGAGATAAAATGTATCAGGCCTGTCAACTTTAAAAAACTTTTGATCTGAAGGAAAGAAAATTGTCTCTTAATGCTATTTTTTTTCTTTTGGTTTTTCTCATACAGGGTCTCACTATGTAGTTCAGACTGGTCATGAACTCACTGTGTAGCCTAGGCTGACCTCAAACTGCAATCCTCCTGCCTCAGTTTCCACCCCCGGCCTCCTAATGCTAATTTCTGAACAAATTTCCAATTTGTTCAGAAAAACAGAATATTTGTTCAGAAAAAAAAATTTGTTCAGAAAAAATTGGAAAAAAATCTGACTTAATGTAATTGTACCATTTAAGTTAATACTGGGCAAGTGAAATCTTTGCAAATATATGTTCCTTTTTTCTCACTTTCTAAATTGTGTGGCCCGTTTTGTATTTGAATGAATTTTCCAAATAAATATTTTGAAAAATTTAAAAATGATGTTACAAATATTTGCCATTTCATTTCTCCTGTATCTCTTTCCCTTAACCTTTACAGTGGTAAAATAATTTCCCATTATAAAGTTAATAGTAAACTTCCATGTTCATTTGGAGATGATCGCATTTTTCATGTTGCATTTCTAGAATTTTTTTCTGACCTTTTAATCTATGACCAAATACTTTTTTTCTCTCCTTTAGGGCATAACTCTTCTTGCTGTTATGCTTTCAAGCTGTAGTGTGAATCACAAGTTTTAAACAGAAGGTGAGCCTCTGAGGTCAGTGAAAACAGCAGTTGGTATTTCTTTTCAAAAAAAATTTCTTTTGGTACTGGGGATCGAACTTGGGTCCTTTATATTTGGAAGGCAGGTGGCAGTACCACTGAGCTAAACCCCCAGCCCAGTGGTTGGAATTTCTTGATGTTTTCTATTCATTCATTTATTTCCATATTGTTGTTAATTAAAAATATAATTGAAGCTATTTTTCAGGGACTCTGATGTTTTAGTTTTGGAGGTTTTAAAAAGTTGTAGTTAGGAAGTAGGAGAAGGGAAGAAAACACTGAAAAGAGAGATTGGTAAAAAATATATTTGGCTTGAAACTGATACGTAGTTCCATCTGTTGATGACACTTGGGAAATATTGTCTGTTTTGCCATAATCATATAAAGCTCTTTTAATAGACTATCTCAGTGCAACTAGAAAATGAGTACATTTGACTTATAAGTAAATCAGGGTATCAAAGAAACTCCATTTCCCCTAATTCTCAGTGTTCTTTCATTGAGAAATCCAAATCTGCCACTGACAACTGTTTGATATTCAGAGAATGCTTCAAAGACTGAGTTGCAGACTTAAAAATCTGACTAGCAGTAGCCAGCTATCCATTAGTGTGCATGTCTTTACGTCTTTATCTAGCTTTCTTACTTTTTTGTGAATTGGTAATACTAAGGCATGCTTTTGTCTTGTTTTTAGGATAGAGGAAAGGACCAATCTAACAATAATAAACGTTTATTGAATGCTGTATGTTAATCCTGGGGATACAGAAATGAAGAATAAACACCTATCTATACAGGCAGGAGAATTGAAAGTTGAGCTAAATCTGGGCAAGTTAGTGATTTAATGATACTCTGTCTCAAAATTTTAAAGGGCTGAGGATGTAGTTTAGTGTGAAGGCATTAAATTCAGTTAATCCCCATTACTGCTGAAAAAGAAACATACCATGCTTATCATGTGTGCCATTGGCTCAGCAGCAGGGTTATGTATCAGTGTTGCATTAAGTACAGAGGAATTTGACTTGAGGGAGTTTTAAACTTTTCTTTTAAAAAAGTTTTTCAGACTTGTTTACAGAGAAATAGGCTAGTACCCTCTTCCCCTTCTTTTTCATGCTATTTAACATGTTAAAGAAACCAGCTCTGGAAGACTGTCTCACTTTCTGGTTTTGTCTAGTTATTTCTGCTCAGGTTGTTTATCATGTTCCTTTACCCTCGTTGTTTTACATTGGAAGCTCAGTTGGATTCAGCAAAACATTTTTGGTGAGAAGGTTCATTCTGGGAATGTGACACTATCTCATAGATATCACATAATCTGTGGGTATGATATTTTGGAAACCTCTGAATTTCTAATTATCAGCTTCTCTTCTAAGGTTTCCTAAATCAATTGTTAGGTTTGGCAATATGGCTGTTTTCTAACTTGGTTTTACCTTTTTTATGTATTAGTTGCAATTGCAGTGGTACCGTGGGTCATGAACTGAATTCGTTTTATGATTTTGGAAAAGATAGTCATAGTTGTGCTCCCCACCCAATGCAGAGTTGCAAACAACACAGTTTTGCCTAACACTTCTTTTTGTGAATCAATTTGTTCACAAACAAAAGTGTTCACGCACCATAGTGCCACTGTATTTATAAGGAAGAACTTTTCTTCTTTAGCTAGAGCAGTTTAGTTGTTCTTTTAAAGGAGTCATGGTTGGGAGAGAATAAATCACTTTTTTCTTAGGCTCTTCAAAATAAGTGAATTTTTAGATTTATAGCTAAATTGATCAGAACTATAGTTGGCACCAAATTGTGACATTGTTATTGACCACCTAATTATGTATAACCAAGTTTATTTGATTGCTGCTGACCAAAGGACATTTATATGGTACAAAGGAAAAAAAGATATGTTCAAAAGTAGCTCTAAGGAGATGGAAGGGCCTCATCACTTGCCAACCTGAAAATTGTAGTTGCTTTTGGTAACCTATTGACTAGAATTTTAGAGCTCTCATCACATTAATATATCATCATATAATAATTTCTGATACGTGAGTTTGAAAAATTGAAGAAACTACACTGTAATTTTTAAACTGTTTGATTTATTAAAGATAGAAAATCAATATATTTTTAAAGAAAAGATGTGGGATCAAGGAGGACAGCCTTGGCAGCAGTGGCCCTTGAACCAACAACAATGGATGCAGTCATTCCAGCACCAGCAGGATCCAAGTAAGGAAACTGAATTTGGAAGAGGGTGGGGAGTGGAATTTGAGATGGGTAGGAAATAGATGATGGAATTAGAGTTGGTACATCGAATCATTGTAAGGTCTGAATGTAGTCTTTTCGTTAAGTAGCCTTGCCATAGGTAGCTTCTGGAGGAAGTACATTTTTATTTGGAAGACTTTCTCAAAGGATAGAAAACTTCATGAAGATTTTACATTTTTAAAACTTAGAAAAAGTATAAATATTTGTTAAGTGGAGCATACTTCTGTTGTTAATTCTGAGTCTTATAGTTAGATTATATTCACTTGTGTACTGTACTACATTACTTTAAGATTTGTTTTTACTGTGCAGTATTTCGAATATGGACAAATGTAGAAAGAAAGATTAAAGGGTGCTCCCATTTATTACATTAACATTTATTTAACTCATGGACAGTGAGATCAGAGCAGTATTGCTCCGCTTTACTGAGTAATCTGATGCCATTTCTTTTTAAGAATAGTTAGATAGTAAGTCTTTACTATAGTTGAACAAATCCACTTTTGGATATTTGAATTTTACTCATTATATATACGTCATTCATTTGTCAGTTTTCTTAACACAAGAGCTAGGTTTGCTAGGTCACAGTTGCAGATTGGGAACATTTCTATACACATTGCCAAGTTGAACTCCCATCTGTGTTAGGCCAATTTTATATTTCATAAAAGTATGAGACTGTCTTTTTAATCTTTATTAAACTGAAGTGTAAATAAAATTTATCTTGCTCTATTTTATTTATTAATGACTTAGATCTTAAAATGGTAGAGGTGTCTGGAGAGGAAAATGGAAAACCTTCAAAACAGTAGGACAATGACTTTCGAGAAAAGCATGGCTGAAAAGTTAAGAAAACATATTTTGGTTGGAAAGGGATCCTCAAAGAAGGGCAGCCATGATGAGGAGCAGGGATAGGGCCTATACCACTTCAAGCTCTGTAAGCTCAAAAGGTAGTCCTGAAAAGAATATGATTGAGTTTGATTATTTTTATGATGATTTAAAAAGGGACTTTTTAAAAACTCAGTAAACTAAGATGTAGGGAATAAATTATCTTTGAGTTAATATTAGAAATGGGTTCTGTTGTTGCCTGAATATGGATTCTTTTTTTTTCCCCTTAAGTTTTTTGGTATATGTTAGATATACATTATGATCACATTCATCATTGGGAATTTGTAATTATACATGATATATCTTGGTTCTTGTGAAATAGGAAGAAAAGGCTCAAAGGGGAAGGGGCAGTAGGCAGTGGGGTAGGGGAAAGGAAAGTAGAAAAAGAAAAAAAATATAGATTATTTTTTAAGCATCCTTTTAGGGGTAACTAAAAGATGAGTAGCATGCTTGTTTTATATAGAAATACCATTCTTTGAACTCCTACATTCTTTGTTAATTTACATTAGGCCAGATTGACTGGGCTGCATTGGCTCAAGCTTGGATTGCCCAGAGAGAAGCGTCAGGACAGCAAAGCATAGTAGAACAACCACCAGGATTGATGCCAAATGGACAAGATATGCCTACAATGGAATCTGGGCCTAACAATCATGGGAATTTTCAAGGAGATTCAAACTTTAACAGAATGTGGCAACCAGGTTTGTTGTTTATGTTTTCTAAATTTTAGGATGGTTTTAAAATAAAATGAAGATTAATAGTTATTTAATTTGCTTTTTTTATGACTTCTTGAAATTTAATGCTCAGTAAAGAATAGGCAGTCTCGATTTGACCTTGACATTTTGTTGTTAAACTTATTCTGTGCTCAGTTTGCTAGCATTGTGGCACTCAGTTTCTTTTCTTGGTTCTTCATTCCTAGGCTGACAGGGGCTGGGAACACTGGAAACTTCACTTGGCATCTAGGGAAGAGAGCGTTGTTTTTCTCTCTCTTGCAACCTCTGGCCTTTTCAGAAGCAGCACTGGCAGAGTAAAACATGTCTAGCCTCTAGTTAAAGGAAAATTGTGTCCCTATGTGACAAGTCTGTCAAATATACTCTGCTCTTATGATCCACCCACCTTTTTCTACCCTTTTTTCAGATAGTGAAGATCTTTGATAAGTTTTTGTTTGTTTGTTTTTATATCACAATATGATTGTGATTCCTTCATCCTCATCTAGTTTTCTGTGGCTTATGTTACTATTTTTAATATGCACTGGAAGCTATAAAGGAATTTTGCATTTGGGTATGCTGATGATGAAGTCATACTCCCCCTTTCCTATTAATTTTTTTATATATATTACTGTAAGAATGGAAAATACAGGAAGGAACTCCCAAACATCACTTTAAAAGAATGACAGATATTCCAGCCTTGGATACTGTGAGGTAGTTCTTTCTGCAAAGCCAAATTTCCCGAAGTTTGAAGATGTTTTAGATCCCAAAACTCAAGTTTATATGTGACTTACTGTGACATCCCAACCCCCAAACCCATCCCCTTCTACTCTTTGTGACCCTGGCAGTTATTAAACCTCTTGTATGCCTTAGTTTCCTCTCCTAAAATCAGCAAAATTAATACTTGGTTTTTCCCTACCTCACAGGGATGTTGTGAGGATAAATGTGTTCATGGAAGAAAGAACTTATATAAAGTTTTGAGGTATTATTTTTATGGTGTTATTATTGAGCAAAAATAGAAAAATACAACAAAAAGTTGTTTTGGATTTTGTTACATTCTTTAGAAATAATGTTGGGATTTTTTTTGTTGTTGTTTATTTAGGCTGTAAATTACAGTGGCATTAACACCTTTGAATTATTTGTAAGATACTTTAGTTAATTGCTTATTTTTAAGATATATAAGGAATTTGATCAAGAAGTCATAAGTTGTTTTTTAACCTGTTTGTTTTCTGAAAAATACAACTTTCTTGAAATATTGAAATTTGTATTGATGTTATTATAACACCCTGTTGAATGTTTTTATGCCTGAATCCTAAATAGAATGGGGAATGCATCAGCAACCCCCACACCCCCCTCCAGATCAGCCATGGATGCCACCAACACCAGGCCCAGTGGACATTGTTCCTCCTTCCGAAGACAGCAACAGTCAGGACAGTGGGGAATTTGCCCCTGACAACAGGCATATATTTAACCAGAACAATCACAACTTTGGTGGACCACCCGATAATTTTGCAGTGGGGCCAGTGAACCAGTTTGACTATCAGGTGAAAGATATTTTGTTGCTTTAATACCATAGATGTGCACGTAATCCATTCTTTGGAAGTGTCTCATCAAGAATAACTAAGATGCGTGTTTTATTTTTCAGAGTTGTACAGATAAACACATACAGGGTTCCAAAACAATTTAACAATTTTTGAGTATTAAAACCATCAGATTTTTATGTGATTAGGAAAATGGTATAACACGTTCATTAGGAAAATTTTTGGATACAATGAAAAGTGTAAGTGCAAAAGCTATATGATGCTGTATTTCTGATTTCAAAATGATAGATTTAAATGTTAAGTAAAGTTTAGAAAATACACATTAGTTGAATGCATTATCAATAATAGATTAGGGTTAAGACATGAAGAAAACACATGAACATGGGTCATCTTTCTAACTACAAATCCTCCTGCAGAATTATGACTTCTAGTGTTATGTTTTCCATTCTGACATGGCATGTTAATGGAATTGTACATGATTTCTTTTGTAACATCCAGTCCATTTCTAGGGACATAGAACTCTATGGGAAATAGTGGTAAAATGTGGGTCTTTCCTTATCCACTCTGTAAGTATCTAACCTAAAATTACAGAATTGTCATTTTGAAATAACCTGAATGTAATTGTTACTTTATAAACTGTACTGTCAAAATTAAATATTTTGAAATGTCCCATCTATTATTTCACTAATTCTAAGGTAGATTTGATAATATATTCACCTTGGGATAGTAATCCTTTAGTTCATACATATTCACATACTTGTGTACTCACACTTGGAGTATATATATAACAATTCTTGTTTAATTTATAAAGAAATGTAATGATAGGGTGCTTCTACTTACCCTAGTTTTGCTTGGGCAATTGGCCTGAGGAAAGCCTCTGAAAATAGCAAATTTTTACTATAATACTTAAGTAACTTTCTTTGTATATTAATAAATGTATCATGCAAAAATATAAAAACAATTTGAGTTCATTAGAGAGAGGAAATTGCAATCAGCAACCAAAAATTCTTAGCTGGGCATGGTGGCACATGTCTGTAATCCCAGCACTTGGGAAGCTGAGGCCGGAGGATCAAGAGTTTAAAGCCAGCCTGATCTAAAGAGCTGAGACCCTGTCTCAAAGAATGAAAAATAAAAATTCTTTAAGAAAAATATTTATCTGATGCCTTGATGATAATAGGGGTAGTTTATAGATTCACAGTGAAAGAGTTTATTTATATATAATACATATATATTCACATGCAGATGTGTATATGTATGTGTATATATGTATATACATATTTTCACATGCATATAATAATAGTCTATCAGCTGGCTTTTAGAAGGCTCTTTGGACTTCACACAGGCAAAAAAAATCTGTCTTAAGCCTAGAAAGCCTTGGGGCTACAGAAATAACCCGTGCATATTAGAACCATGGGATTCTTGGATTTGCTGCACACATGGATTTCTACTGTCCCAGTTCATAACACACGTGTGTCCCAGAGAGTATATTGTATCAAATTGAAGAAAAATAAAATGCAATACTCTTTCAGCATGGGGCTGCTTTTGGTCCACCGCAAGGTGGATTTCATCCTCCTTATTGGCAACCAGGACCTCCAGGACCTCCAGCGCCTCCCCAGAATCGAAGAGAAAGGCCATCGTCATTCAGGGATCGGCAGCGGTCACCTATTGCCCTTCCTGTGAAGCAGGAGCCTCCTCAAATCGGTAGCTATTTAAGTCTGGTGAATCCTGTTGGCATGATTTATCACTGTAAAAAGGTTGTCTTTTTCCTTAAATTGTTCTAATGCCTCTGATATATTAGAAGTCAGTACTTCTCTTTAAAGCCTAAATGTTCCCTGGGTCTCTCCTGGTTTCAGTTACTCTGACACTGCTGCTAGATTAGTTTTCCTTTTCATAAGTATTTTCTCAGAAAATTTTAATAACAAAGCTAGCTTTCTCCCAGTAGCAGGTTTACGTGTATGTGCTACTTTGTCTAGAAAGTGCCAACTCATCCAGTGGACTAGAAAATTTTGTCTTTTTTATTTTGTTTTTTGGTAGTTGTTTGTTGTTGGTGCTGTTTGGGAGTTAGTTTGTTTGTTTGTTTTGGTGAGACAAGTTCTTACTGTATATTCCAGGCTGGCCTTGAACTCATTGTATGGCCTAGGTAGGCCTCCAGTTCTGTCCTGCCATAGCCTTCCAGGAGCTGGCATTACAGGTGTATGCCACCATGCCCAGTGAAGTCTTTCCTTTTTACATTTTAGGAAAATTCTAACTTACTGCTTTTTAAAAAATCTGCTGAATGTGAGCCAGGGATTTAGCTCAGTGTTTCCACTGCCGCCTTTGCAAGCGCAAGGTCCAGAGTTCAATCCCTGTTACCATCAAAAAAAAAAATCTACTGAATGAATTTAGAGTGAAACAGAATATGGCTTTGAATTAGCCCACATCATGATTTATTGGCTTTTTAACCTTGGGCACATAACTTTATCTATTTGAGTATCCATTTCCTCACCTGCAAAAGACTTAACAATAATAGTGATTTTTGAAGACTTTTGTAAAGATTAAATAATGTGACAGTTGCATGTAGTTTTATTGTGTTCTGGCAGAGTAAGTATTAGCATGTATTCCCTGCTTCTGTCAGAAGGGATGATTTTATTTTATTTATTATTTTTTATTACTATTTTTTGGTACTGGGGATCGAACTTGGGACCTTGTGCTTATGAGGCAAGCAGTGGAAACACTGAGCTAAATCCCCAGTCTCCAGAAGGGATGATTTTACAAAAAAGTACAGTGTTAAATGAGTATTGTCTGTGTTTTTGTTTTTATTCAAAAAGTTTGGAGAGAATCAGGAATAAGGAACTGATTTTTTTCCTGTATGGAATAGATGCAGTAAAACGCAGGACGCTTCCAGCTTGGATTCGTGAAGGTCTTGAAAAAATGGAACGTGAAAAGCAAAAGAAATTAGAGAAAGAGAGGATGGAACAACAACGTTCACAATTATCTAAAAAAGAAAAGAAGGCCACAGAAGATGCTGAAGGAGGTGATGGCCCTCGTTTACCTCAGAGAAGTAAATTTGTAAGTAGAATCTTCTGTTATGAAACTCTGTGAAGTTTATTGAAATAGACATTTTAGCCTACGGAAGAATAATATTCCTGAGTTAACTTGCAGTAAGTGTATTGGGGCTTATGGGTTTTTTTTTTTTTTTTGTACTGGGGTTCGAACTCGGGACCTTGTGCTTATGAGGCAGGTGGTGGAACTACTGAGCTAAATCCCCGGCCCTGGGGCTTATGTTTTTATGTGTGTGTTGAGGGTGGGCATCCTATTCTGTGAGATTCTGCATAGGTGTTACCTTTATAGACAAATTTGTATTCTTTTCTTTGATGAAACTGGCTCCCTCACAGTGGATTATATAAAGCAAGACTATATTACATGATAATAGAGAAATAAAGATGACTTTTTGAATATTTGAATGTATACTTAACACCTGAGGATGTAATAATTTTTGCCATGAGCAATAAAGTCAGTGTTTTAAGTGTTTAAATCTTTATTCGTCTGTTAGGTGGCATGAGTGGTTTAGGAGTTTCTTTACTCCTCAGTAATGGGCTTCCATCGGGTACAGCAGCTACATCAGGGGTCAGAATGCAGCGTAGGAGGGAAGTAGATGTTCCTCTCAAGGCCATTTCCTTACGATCGCTGAGTGACTGGAGGACGCTTGTTTGACTAATGAAAGGTCCTGTTTTTAGGCTGTTATGTCCGTACTGAAATCTAAAACCATACAAAGACAGAATTATTTGCTCAGTCTAAGGTAGATCTTACTTTTTTAGTCTGTCCATTGTGTAACTAGAAAGAACTAAGTTCCAGGGCAATCTCAGATCTTGGAACTGACCAGAGATTTTTCATACTGTGTGACATGGTTTTAGGTAAGTAGCTGTAAAAGTTACACTGAATAATGCGTCTGTTCTCTTTTTCCAAAGTTCTACAAACCACTTGTTTCAGGACCATTATGTATAATAGCTATGTTAATTAAATCTCTCTCTGGGTTTGATGTTTTTTCTGGTTATTTATAAAATAAAGTCAAAATTGACTAAGGAGAAGAGGAGAATAGGAAAAAAAATTGATTTTCATAAGTCCTTTCTGTAATCTCACATTTCTTCCCAGGTTATACTTTAAATTATCAAATAAAATCTGTAATAAAGAAATGTAATGTAGAGGGGCTAGAAGTATAGCTCAGTGGTAGAGCATGTGGTTAGTATCTATGAGTCCCTGTCCCTGGATTCAATTCCTAGCACCAAAAAATACTTTGTAAGCTATAATATCTACTATTTGTTTCTTAAGTCGCTTTTGAAAAGTTAAAAATCTGAGGGGTAAAAAAAGAAAAGCGAAGACAAAGATGTCATTCCATGCTGCCATGAAGTCCTTTTATTCTTGACTACATAATAAAGCTGTATTCAGTTAGCACAGCCTTGGGCCAGGGATTTAGCTCAGTGGTTCCGCCGCCTGCCTCGCAGGCACAAGGACCTGAGTTTGATCCCTGACCCCCCCCCCAAAAAAAACCCAGCATCCTTAAAAGTAGAAATTACTATAAAATGGAGAGCATATTAGATTTGAAATAAATGTAATTTTATCAGCAGCTGCACTTTTTTTGTTGGCGTTTTGTTTTTGGTACTGGCAGTTGAACTTGGGACCTTGCTTGCTTTTGCAAAGTAGGCGGCGGCACTACTGAGCCAAATACCCGGCCCAGCAATTTCACTTTTATGTTTTTGTTTTGTCAACTTTAATTTGAGGTTTTAAAATTTTGAAATTCAGGTAGGGATTTTATATTCCAAGCATTAATTTGAGCTATCGTACCATTTTTACAGGATAGTGATGAAGAAGATGAAGATCCTGAAAACATTGAGGCTGCAAGCAGTGGAAAAGTCACCAGAAGTCCATCTCCAGTTCCTCAAGAAGATCAGAGTGAACCAGAGATGACTGAAGAAGAGAAAGAGTATCAAATGGTAGGATGAGAAATTTCTGTCATAGGCAGTAATATTGTTTGTTTATTTGTTTGTTTGAGACAGGTTCTCTCTATGTAGGTCAGACTGGGCTTGAACTCACTATGTAGCCCAGACTGGCCTCCAACTCAAAGAGATTTTCCTACCTCAGCCTCCTGAGTGCTAGGTTTACAGGCATGTGACATTATACCTGGTGGGTGGTTGTGATTTTTAAAACTATTGATTATCTAAAACATTTAAACTGAGAAATTTGAAACAAATATTTTTATTCACATGTAGATTTGTTAGGCAAAGTATGTCTGTATGAAATTCAGATAGTGTTTCCAGCAGCATCTTCCCCCAGAAAAATTACTTAATATTTAATACAAGATCTCAGCCTGTGAATAATTATTAAGGCCATTTCTTTTTTTTTTTTTCTTTTTTGTGGTACTGGGGATCAAACTCATGACTTTGTGCTTGTGAGGCATGTGCAGTACCACTGAGCTAAGTAAGCCCATTTCTTAACACCAGTGATGGAATTAAAGTTTTACTATATAAGGCCCAAGAGAACTTACTGATCTATTTTTAAATTTTTATTTTAAAATGAAAATACTGAGAAAGATTAAAAGAATTTAAAAATACAGTGGTACCTCAGTTCATGAACTTGATTCTCTCCATGGTTCTGGTCTGCAAACTGAATTGGATGAGAACTGAATCAGATTTTCCCATAAGGTCAACATTGAACCTGATACCTTGGTCATGAACTTGATTCTTTTCACCAAAATCAAGTTGAAAACCGAGTTGGAGGAGAACCAAATCAAACTCAGTGGTTAGGTTCAGTGTTGTCCTTATGCGGAGGTTTGATTTGGTTCTCATCCAGTTGGGTTTACAGCTAGAATAATGGAGAGAACTGAGTGAGCTATCACTGTGCCACTGTAAACTTAGGAAGCGCGAACACTGAACACAGTTAAAAATATCTTTTTAATTATAAGTTTTCTTAAAGTGCTTATTATCTGTAAAGTATATTTTTATTTCATGAAATTAGGAATGTAATGTTATATGTTTTCCATATTGAAAGACCAGTGATCTTTAGATACTGATTCTGTGTACCTCATTTTAATAGATGAGCAGTTGGCACAGAGAAGCTAAAGGCCGAGGTAGGAGTCTGCATTTCACACAGTTGCTCATAGCCAAGCCAGAGGAATCCAGCTCTTATTTCAAATCTAATATACTCTCCATTTTATAGTAACTTCTACTTTTAAGGATGCTGTTTTTTTTTGTGGGGGGGGCAGTATCGGGAATCAAACTTGGGTCCTTGTGCCTGCGAGGCAGGTGGCGGAACCACTGATCTAAACCGCCCAAGGATGCGGTTACTGATTACAGCTTTATTACGTAGTCAAGAGTGAAAGGACTTCCTGGCAGAATGGAATAACATCTTTGTCCTTACTTTTCTTGTTTTTTTCACCCTTCAGATTTTTAACTTTTCAAAAATGACTTAAATATGAGATATTACAGCTTACAAATATTAAGTGAAAAGCTACTTATATCTACAGAATTTTTTTATTAAAGACATTTTTACATTTTGGTCTAAAATAAAAATTTAGTGTTTTCATGGGCAGATTTTTTTTTTCTTTGAGCCCTGATTTTGAATTTTTTTCAGATTTTGAAGTTTTAGAATAATTTTTAAGATACTCTTCCTTTGGCTGATTCTGATTTCAGAATGTTTTATAAGATGGCTTTGCATTAAACTATATGAGTAACTAAATTAGTAGTTAAATCAGAAACTATGTAAAACATTTCTTTTTAGATGTTGCTGACAAAAATGCTTCTGACTGAAATTCTTCTGGATGTCACAGATGAAGAAATTTACTACATAGCCAAAGACACACATAGGAAAGCCACGAAAGGTACACTGTGGGTGTTTTGCTTTTCTGGGGGAATTTTGGTTTTGATGACTATTTTGGACTTTTTTTGTTGTCCTCTGAATTACTATCAGTTATTAAACATTCTCTTCTTGCATGTTTAACTCTTTAGAAAAGATTAGATTTGTAGACACTATTAAAACAACACAGATACTTTTATCTGAACTATGTGAGAGAACAGATTAGCAATCTTGGTATTGTATTGTAGAAAATTCCTGATGTTGAATTTATTTCACCAGATTTTTTTTTTTTTTTTTTTTTTTTAATATGTGCCATGGTATTGGTAATGGTTTTGGGCTGGGGATGTAGCTCAATGGCACAGCGCCTGCCTGGTATTGGTATTGGTTTCTGACTTCTACTACAGTTTATTTGACAGTGAATTTTGAATTTTGATTTTTCAGAATTTTCAGTCAAAATTTTTACAGAAGCAAGTAATACCCAGCCTTCCCGCGTGATTGTGATTGTAGTAACACTTTAAAAACATTGAAACAAAAAATAATGTGCCATATCTCAGAAGGAGAAATACAGATATACTAGTCAACATTTTTCCTCATTATAATAACAATTTCAGCTCACATCATGATTGATTTCAAAGCCAGACATGACACTGGTTTAAAATGAATGTTATGTTTTTAATGTTTCTTCTCTCCCCCAAAAAGCAGCAATAGTAGTAGATTTAACAATGCCCCGTAGAATCTCATGACTATGAAATCGTGGCTATTTGTGTTAACATGTTGTTCCTGTTGTTGATGTGATACAAAGCTCCTGCAAAACAGCTGGCACAGTCCAGTGCACTGGCTTCCCTCACTGGACTCGGTAAGTGTTTCCTTACTTCTGAGAGGGCCTAAAGGGAAAGTCACACTTACCTTGTCTTTCTACATGCTCTGTTTTGAAATTGCACTATTCCTATTCAGTTTATAAAAACCTAGGTCACAAGGTATATCAGTGTCTGCAAGGTTTACATTTTTTAATGCATTCACAGTGGCATTATTGTAAATGTGATGGCTAATTCATAGGTTATTGGGGCAAGTTGAATGGAGGATTTCTTCATCAATTGCTCTAATATGTATATTTTATATATAAAAATTTTCATATATATGAATATATAATTTGTACTTGATCTTAAGCAAAAAGCCAAGAAGCAATAGTTTGTACTAATAGGTCATAATTTAGCCATGACAGTATCTAACCTCACTTTCAGAATTACTGCATACATGCTCTAGGAATTGACTTATCCACTAATGGTTTTAATGACTTTTATATGAATTGTGTTGTAGCAAGTCAAATTTTAACAAAGAGGAGAGAGTTTTATCTTAGTGTAACAGTAGTGATGTATTCATAGTTTGCTATTTGCATGATATATTATCAAGGCTCTAAAGCTTGAATTTGCCTTTTCCCCATCTTCACCCATATTAATTTTTGTGAGGAACAAGATTGTGGGTAGAGTGAAAATTGCCCGTGTGGTTTTTTTATGATTACCACTTAGATCACTTCGGGGTGGGGAGTAGTTTCATTATAATAACAATTCGGTACCAATGAGCTACTCTGATCACTTATTGGTGAGAAATATATGAAATATTCCAGAAATGATAATGTAGTAGGTAACTATTGTCTGAGGATTATTTGAACTCTAAGTATTTAAAAGTATACTTCTCCTCACCCTGAACATACATTCTTTCAGGAAAAGGCAATGAAAAAAGAAATGAGCTTTCTTCTCAGACCTTAAAAAGTTTTTAATAGGCTGTACAGTATTTTCATATAATAGACTGAGCTTTATGCACACAGGTGGATTGGGTGGTTATGGATCAGGAGACAGTGAAGATGAGCGGAGTGACAGAGGCTCTGAGTCATCTGACACTGACGATGAAGAATTACGGCACCGAATCCGGCAAAAACAGGAAGCTTTTTGGAGAAAAGAAAAAGAACAGCAGCTACTACATGATAAACAGATGGAAGGTATTTGTTTTAGACTGTTTGTTTTAGAAGCCATTCATTCTGGAAGCTATAAACCCAGCTATTTAATAGGTTATTTTGATTTCTTACAAGGATTGTTGAAGTGAAAAAGGACTTTTGAAATGAAGGAAATATGTTTGTATGACAATTGAAAAGTAGCTAGAATAATTAAAGGCTACAAGTTTTTCATTTAGTATACTTCACACGGGTACAGTATTTGTTGTGGGGCTTTTTTTTTTCTTTTTTTTTTGGTGCTGGGAATCAAACTCAGGACCTTGCATTTGTGAGGCAGGTGGTGGAACCACTGAGCCAAATCCCCGACCTCAGTATTTGTTTAATAGAAATGAAAGAATACTTAAAATTTCTGTTTTTTGCAAATCTTATTTGGCAGCTTCAAATGTAATTAAGAGTTAATAGTTAAATTTTTCATTTTTACCTTTCAGTTGTTATAATTGAATAAAAGGGAAACTTTCTGCCTATGCATCTCTGTATTTTGATACTCTTGCTTCACTATACAATATGGTAGCTAATTCCACAAAGTTGTCGAGTACTTGAAATGTTGCTAGCCGACATTGAAATCTGCTGTAGGTATAAAATACACACTAGATTTTGAACATGGTATGCAAAAAAAAAAAAAAAACAAACAAACAGTATTTTCTGAAATGATTGCATTTTAAAATGCTAATTTTTGACATATTGAATGAATTACACCTCATTCTTTTTGCCTGACTAATGTGTCCATTAGAAAATCTTGAATTGTATGATTTGTTACCCTAATTCTGTGCCCTAATTGTTACAATCTAGTAGCTTAAAATTTCATAGTATAGGAGATTTTAATTTTACATTCATTTTGTGTGTGTGTGTTTTTCTCTTTCAGAAGAAAAGCAACAGTCAGAAAGGGTTACAAAAGAGATGAATGAATTTATCCACAAAGAGCAAAATAGTTTATCACTTCTAGAAGCAAGAGAAGCAGATGGTGATGTGGTTAATGAAAAGAAAAGAACTCCAAATGAAATAACATCCATTTTAGAACCCAAAAAAGACCATAAAGAAAAAGAGAAACAAGGGAGGAGTAGATCAGGAAGTTCTAGTAGTAGTTCCAGTAGCAATAGCAGAACTAGTAGTACTAGCAGTACTGTCTCTAGTTCTTCTTACAGTTCTAGCTCAGGTAGTAGCCACACTTCTTCTCGATCTTCTTCTCCTAAAAGAAAAAAGAGACATAGTAGGAGTAGATCTCCAACAATTAAAGGTAGACGCAGCAGAAGTAGAAGCTACTCTCGCAGAATTAAAATAGAGAGTAGTAGGGCTAGGGTGAAAATTAGGGACAGGAGGAGATCTAATAGAAATAGCATTGAAAGAGAAAGACGACGAAATCGGAGTCCTTCCCGAGAGAGACGTAGAAGTAGAAGTCGCTCAAGGGATAGACGAACCAATCGTTCCAGTCGCAGTAGGAGTCGAGATAGGCGTAAAATTGAGGATCAACGTGGAAATCTTAGTGGGAGCAGTCATAAGCATAAAGGTGAGGCTAAAGAACAAGAGAGGAAAAAGGAGAGGAGTCGAAGTATAGATAAAGACAGGAAAAAGAAAGACAAAGAGAAAGAGCGTGAACAGGATAAAAGAAGAGAGAAACAAAAAAGGGAAGAAAAAGATTTCAAGTTCAGTAGTCAGGATGATAGATTAAAGAGGAAAAGAGAAAGTGAAAGAACATTCTCTAGGAGTGGTTCTATATCTGTTAAAATCATAAGACATGATTCTAGACAAGATAGTAAGAAAAGCACTACCAAAGATAGTAAAAAGCATTCAGGCACTGATTCTAGTGGAAGGAGCAGTTCTGAATCTCCAGGAAGTAGCAAAGAAAAGAAGGCTAAGAAGCCTAAACATAGTCGATCGCGATCCATGGAGAAATCTCAAAGGTCTGGTAAGAAGGCAAGCCGCAAACACAAGTCTAAGTCCCGATCAAGGTAGTATACTTTTTAAAGTATTTTGTCTGATTTTTTAAAAAAACAATTTGAATTTATTCAAAGTTGAAAGTGTCCTTTCTCTCTCTCTTTAATAAAGTCAGTTTGGTACTTGATAAATGATCATAGTTTAAATAATGTTAGAAATCCTGTATAATAGTATTTATTTAAAATTGCAGATTATTAGTTTAAAATACATTTTTATTTTTAAATTTTGTCTTTTCCCTTTTTTTGCAGATCAACAACCCCTCCCCGTCGTAAGCGCTGAGGAATGATGTGGCAAGAATGCCATGATGTTTTTAAAAAATTCCATGAGTTTTAAGGGCTTGTCTCATTATAGAGGCACATTGTGGCTGTGTAGGTGAAACCAGAATCTTTTTTTTTTTTATAATCTGTAAATAGGTGTACTTTTTCCAAATGCTGCTCCAAGTTACTTCATAGGATTTCTTTGTATTACATTTTTTTTAAAAAACAGTGCATAATAAGACTATAAACATGCCATTCTCTTTCAGCTGTAATGTTCTTAAACTTATTCTTGAATGTACTGTGATGTCAATAAAGCTCTTTAGTTCATTTTTGTTAAACTCTTGCACCTTAATTTTATAATTTTAATCTAAGGAACATACTTTTCTAAAAAGGCAGCTGGAATTTTGTATAACAGATTTTAAAGGTACTTCCTTCCACCTCCGCCAAAGAAAAAATGGTTTTAATTTAAAAGTTTGTCAAAGTTTGTAAATTGTACCCGTGGACTTTTGTCAGATTCCGACTTACAGGGTGTGGAAGAGGGCCAGAAATAGACCTTTTATTTTCACTTGGAAGCATTTGATTAACCTTTGAAACTTTTATTATTTTGGGGGATTTTCAAGTAAATACATATTCGCTGTATGTATAAGATATGATTCACACTTGTAAAATGAAATTGCTGGAATCAATCAAGCCAGTGCATCAGTATAGTTATTTGTAATGAACAGTTGTGTTTGACACTAACAGTAAAGTCTGGGAACTATATTTTACACCCAGTTTATTTCACCCATTTCTGTTTTAGAGGTATAACACCTTGAGTTACTATAGAAATAGGACTTAAAATTTCAGTATATTTATATTTTTAAAAATATAATGTGACCTCAACCCAGTGGAGGACTGCTGTATTATGCAGGTGTGTGTCAATAACTTAACATTAGAATGATCTGATTTTGTCATTTTCTAAAAATTATGATCATTGGGTGGTCCAGTTTGAAGCAGTCACACATTATGAGTAGAATGGGGCTCTTGAGGCATTTTTAATTAACTCAACTGCTATCAGGGTCCTTTTTTTTTTTAAATGATTATGCACTTATATAGTGATAGATGAATTTTAAAACAAATGTTTTCAGTTTTATTTTAAAAAGCAAGTCAGTACACAGACAATTTTAAAGTATGCCTTCTTACCAGCAATAGTTCATTTTAAAAATTATGCCAGATTTTTGCCAAGATCAGTGTTTCCTCAAAATGAAGATAAAAATAGATTTGTATAGTGTGCTCTTGTACCTCTACATAGGTTCTTTTAAATAATTTTGAGCAGTTATGCATTTATCTAAAGGAAGTAAACTGTGAATAAATGCATGTTTACCAAAATGGCTGTTTACAGTGCATTTAGTTCTGATATTTATAAAGTTGACATTTCACAGAATAATTTTAAAATAGTTTGTAAGTCTATATGGTTTAGATCAGTCATACATAGAGACAAAAAAATGTGCAATATTTTTTATGTAGGTGAGCTAACTGCTGAAGTGTACCTAATTGAACAATTATCTGATTATTTGTAATAGATAAGTTGTATAACATTTTCATATCTTAAAATGTTTTTTAGATTAATCTTCGAGTGAAATATTATTTTCAAAATAAAATTATACAGAAAAATTCTGGCTATGATATACACATTTTTGGACAAAATATGAACTTGAGTCACAAGTATATTTGTTTTACCATGATTTGCAAGCTTATCAGTTAAATCTATAATTTTTTTTAAAAATCCATCACAACAGTTGTGAATAGTAGATATCAGTGTTACATTTAGATATTTGGCTTTTTCATATTTTATGGAAAATTGAGAGAATTCACCATTTTCTTGACTTAGTGTTTGAGTAGTAAGATTATGTAAAATAGAGCTTCCATGGTTTAGGATGTGAGTGCTGAAACTTGCACATAAATTAGATATATAACTTAGCTATGAAATCTTTCCTAAAATGACACCACCAGAAAGTTAATACATTTTTGAGATAATCATTGGTCTGTATTGGTCAATAAAATCTGTCTTCTTTAAGAGAGTCTCTTAAAAAATACATCTGAGTGGCCTGCCTTGCAGGCACAAGGACCCAAGTTCAATCCCCGGTACCAAAATAATAATAAAAAAAAAAATGCATCTGATATATTAATCATACTTGTCCTGCCTTGCAGGCACAAGGACCCAAGTTCAATCCCCGGTACCAAAATAATAATAAAAAAAAAATGCATCTGATATATTAATCATACTTCTGTGGAGTGGGGATGAACTGCTCCATTACGAGAAGAAAAGGTAATTAAAGTTTTATTTCAGGCCCCTAAAATACAAATAAAGATCGGTGTGGTCACCTTTACATTCAAAACTTTTCTTCTACATAGAGTGTGTTTTAATTTTTTGAAATTTCTAAAATATAACAAGTATAGTTTAATGAAAGTAGTTAGATATATTCAGAGTGCCCTGGCTCTGCTAATTTGATGTGTTGGGCAAATCACTAAATTATTATAGGCTCCAACTGTTTTAAGGAAGGAATTAGATGATCCACTAAGCTGTTGGATACTTGCAGGCCTAGTTTTCTCAGTTTTAAGTAGCTCTTTTTCTTTTTCCTTTTTTTTTTCCTTTGGCTTTAAAAAAAATTTATTGGTACATTATATAATGATCATATTCATAGGGAATTTGTACTTGTACATAATATATCTTGATTCTTTTTTTCCTCCATCTCCCCTTATTTGCAAAAGCTTTGTTGCAATTTTTTCCCTTCTATTCTTTTTTTTTTCTTTTCCCTTTTCCCCCAGTCCCCCTCATATCTATTATATATTTTGGTTCTTATTTACACTTTGTTTCTCACACGAGAGAAACACTTTTATTAGCTCTTTAGCACAGCATTATCGGGTATTATCTTAGTCTGCCACATTCTTGATTATGATAGTGCACCATTATACTTTTACCCAATTTATGTAGTTTTTAATACAAAAATTCATTTTGAAGAGAAAACTTAGCTGTTAAAACATTTTACCACTTAAAAATACCATGAAATTTTTACAGTTACAGTTAGTAGGTATTACAAGTTTTCTAGCAAGATCAATTTGTATACTACTGCATGTTTATGGATAAGATGGGGATAGTCTCGAAAATGTCTCGACAACCACGTGCGACATTATAGCCAACAACTATTTCTAACAGAACTTGGGTTTAAAGGTTATTGGGAAAGCCTTTTTAAAAAATTTCTAGAGAAAAGGATTGTGGAAAAGAATTGAAAAAAGTTTTGTGTATTAGGGCCAAACTAGCTTTGGGGATTCAAAAAGCTATTGCTTCCTATTAAAGCAAATCATTGATTGCCTTTGTTGTTGAACCAAAAATGTAGTGATAAGGGTTTGAAGCCCAGTGGGATGTGGTGCATTCAGAGAAAGTACAGCGTATTTAAATAAAGCCCTTAAAGCTTTAATCATTCGGACTTTAGTTTTTCTTTGGATCAGTTATCCCAACGAACACTTTTAGCACATGGTTATTTATTTGGCAGAGCTCCCTGCTTTATTTGGGGAAATGGTCATATATCTAAGGGGAGGTGACTCTGAAGAGCATATAGATAGGAAAAGTTTGCACCCATTCTTATTTGAGAGGCCAGTATTTTAGCTCAGGATATGTAGGAAAAAGACTATTCCAGCGAAATAAACGTTACTGATTCAAAGAACCCTTTACCTATTTGACCCTGCCTGTTGAGAGTAGAATAAATTGGAAATTACTGCCAAGGGCAAGGCATTTTATACCTTCAGAGGTAAAATGTTACTGATCACCATTCTATCTCTGAAGTTTGCCTACACCGAGTGCTAATAGTCCTCTGCTATGTTGACATGCGTCCTGTCCAAGATACTAGGTCACTTGCAAAAAAGTTGAAAATCAGGTTTCTGGCCCTCTGTGATACTGAGTGTGTTGAAAGGGTAACAGATCTACTCTTAGAAAAGGGCTTCCATGTGCTGGGGATTTAGCTCAGTGGTTCCGCCAACTGCCTTACAAGCACAAGTTTCCAAGTTCAATCCCCTGTACCAAAAGGAAAAAAAAGGGGGGGGCGACTTCCATTCTTTTTGTAATTTTAAGCTGTGGAATCTGTTTTAGGATGTAAATATCTTTGGGGAGATGTTAAATATGAAGAGCTATACAGGATAAAGGCATGAAGTAACATCTATGATCCTGAGGTTTGAGGTCATGTAGGATTAGGTAGAAGAGAGGTTCTTACAAATTACACAGAGTTAAGAACTTCATCGCTTCGGTGCCTGCGCAGTTTACTGACAGCGTCAAAGTAGCTGGCCCACCCTAACAGTAATCCAGTCATGTAAATCGGCTGTAGAGGGCGCGAGTGGGTCTCGGAACCTTTCCGCCGGGGTTATTTTGTGAGAGGGACCGGAAAAGGAGTGGGAACCTTTGCCATGATGGGAGGCCGAGTGTTGAGCTCCTCTGCGGGTCGTTTTTTAGGAGCTCTCGGGGCTCGGTGTTGGGCCGGACGAGCCGAGCGTCCTTGCTTAACTTCGTGGGCGGGTGAGTGGTATGCAAACGCGGGAGCTCGGAGCGCGGAGCGCTGGCTCCGACTCTAGCGCTCGGGGCCCTGGCGCGCAGACCACCGCCCAAGGCGGCCGCCGGGATCCAGCGACCTGTGGCTCATTTCCGTAAAGCTCGTGCCCAGCAGCCGGCGACCCACGCTGAATGCTGTAGTCTGAAGGTCGTGCTGCTTTTCTTTGCCAGGGCAAGAAAGACCAGCGGGTCTTTTGTAGTGATTCATAGCGTTGGTTCTTTATTTTGTTTGCGTATGTCTTGTCCTTTTTTCTAAAAATCTAAGGCAGCTATACTACTTTTTGAGTAATGATAAGGAACATACTTTAAAGTCTCTTTAAACTATTAGGCATGGTAGCCCACACCTGTAATCTCAGCACTCAGGAGGCGAAAGCAGGAGAATTGCTGGGAGTTCGAGGCCAGCCTGGACTATATGGCGAAACCTTGTGTCAAGAAACAAAAACAATATTAGGACAGACATAAGATCGGGATATAATAAGCGAAAAGAAAAGAAAGAAAATCCAGCAACTCTACACCGAGAGTTGATTGGTACTCTTCATATAGGGGAAATACTATAACAACTTAGTAGATGTCAGATAGGTGGAGTTTATGTTTCTCAAAATCCAAGTATAAATTTTAAGGAACAATGGAGATTAAGAGTAGGAAAAATTGCCGGGCGTGGTGGCGCACCCCTGTAATCCCAGCACTCGGGAGGCTGAGGCAGGAGGATCGCTGTGAGTTCGAGACCAGCCTGGGCTACATAGTGAGCTCCAGGACAGTCTCAACTACATAGTGAGACCCTGTCTCAAAACAAAAACAAAAACAAAAAAAAAGTAGGAAAAATTTATTGGGAGAGATAGCTCCTGAGAGACGGGGGCGGGACGGGACCAGAAGTGGGTTGATAGAAGACCACTTCTCAAAGGAAGTTTTATAGAGCAAAATCACGAGGTGGGTGTAACGTGGGTGTGACTATGATCAACCAATAGGATTACAAATATAGCCGCTTAAGTAATATTGATCTAATGAGGAAGCCGGTCACATAGCAAATGTACAAGGAAAGACTTTTTAAGGAAGGGATGAATCAGGAGGTCCTGGCCACTCACCTGGGTGACTGATGTCTAACTAGACTTTATTGGACCACGTGATACTAATTATAATATAATCTTTAATTTATTTTTTATCCCTTGGGGAGGCATACAGGACTGGACATTCCCTCTTTATTTGAAGTATCTCCAGCCACAAATGTAATGTCTTCTCATCTTCTGCACTGACGCCGAAGGCCTAGTTTTGTCTGCCTTAATATTTCTACTGTCTATAATTCTCTGTGAAAACGTGTATAGCCAATAAAACAGTTTAAATCCATTTATATGCACATGGAAAAATGATAAGGATATAGTTTTAAGAAAATAAGGTACAAGTCAGTATATATTATGAACTTGGAGATAGAGACCTAGTTAGAGATACATAATTTTAACAATGATGAACTATGATGGAGTCATTGGTATTGTATCATTTTATCATCCTTTATATACTTTCCCAAAATTTCTTCAAGAAATATATCTTTTATAATTAGAAATTGAGAAAAAAACTGATAAAACCGTTTCCAAACTTGGTGGTGGTAATTGAAGCAGGAGCAAGCAAATCCATATTTGCAACCAGGGAAACTTCTTCACTGAGAAAGAGAATTGTCTTGAAGGAATTGGGTCATGTTAGAGGCAGTTGGAGAAAGCAAAGGACTGGCTGGAAAATATGAGGTTTGTGGGAAACTGCAGCATCGCCTGAAAATCAAGTGTGTGGATGGAAGTGAGGCACTGAGGGTCAGGGAATAGCAAAGGATGAGACGAGACTTTTCAGGCATAACATGTCCATGAAAGCCCCATCCACCTTCCTGAGGTAGACTATCCTGAGGACAATGGAAATTATTAAAGAAGCAATGTTATCAGACTTCATAGAAAAGAAACAACACTGGCAGCTGTGTAGAAAGTAGGGTGGAGCCAGGCAGGTGTGGGCTTCAAGATGTTGAATGAAGATTGCTGAAATAGGATATCCCGGAAAAGTCTGTTGCCTTTCTTGTTCACTGCCAGCATGAATACTGTTAGGTGCTGAATAAATAAATTCAGTAAATTAAATGAACTTCCCCTATTCCTTCTCAAATACCAGAATTCAAGTTAGAAAAGAAATTGATACCATTGTTTATTAATACAAACTCAAGTGAAAGATTCTTTTTTCTAGAAGTAGAGGAGGTCAGAGGAAGGTTAGCATAAATCTCTGAGTCTCAGGTTCATAATAATATATGTGTTTATCCACATATCACAGTTTACATAATTTAAAAATTATATCTCACTTACCTACCTGAAGTCATAAAGGGTATGATATTTGAATTGAGTCTTAAAAGCAGACCAGACAGTGTTGGTGGAAGATGGAATAACATGAGCAAAAACAGAGAAGCATGAGCTTTTTTGTGTGTGTGTACTGCGGAAGCGAGCACTGGCATGAGCTTAAAAAGTGAACTCCAGAATGAATGTGGCCTGGACTGTGAGTGGACTATTAAGCAGAGCAAGTAAAATGCTCAAGAGAAAAATGTACAGACTATAAAAAGACAAAACAGGATATAAAAAGGATCATTATACTTAAGGAAGGATACCTGACTTCACCTGTGATAAAATACACTAATACACCATTTAATCAGTTGGATTAGCAAAGAGAAAAATATTTGAGTAACACGTCATATCAGTGCAGCAACCAGGCACTAGACACTAATATATTGCCCACAAGATTGTGAATTCAAATTGTAAATTGGTTTAGTATCCATGGGTAGCAATTACTAACTTACAAATATCCAAACACTTTGATAATTCTTGAGATTTTATCTATAGGTACTCTTAAACACATTGGAAATTACCCAAATCAGTCCCATGGTTTTGGTTAATGGCCATAAAAGATAAATAACCTAAATGCTTATTAATTGAGGACTCTAAATAAATTATGGTATAACTTAACTACAGAGCCCACCAAACAAATGTATACACACTTCAACAATTTGCTGTGTTAATAGATGTCTGGAAGCTCATGGCCACCACTTTGAGCACCTCTTGAAATTGTAGAGGCCAAAGATAACTGTATTAATCTTATGATGTCTTAATAAATTTAGTATTAAAATACATATTTTAATTTTCCCGATGTATACTTTTTTGGTGGACTCTGTATATAATGAATTACTGTGTATCCCTTAATTTAAAAAAAGAACCTCTGTATACTATGTTAGAAAACAGTTTCCAGGATACATTGATAAGTGAAAAAAAGTAAGATGCAGAATAGTGTGCGTTCTATTATACTTTCTGTGAAATGAAAGAAATTAATACATTAAATGATTGTATATGCATAAAATGTCTTTCTGAAAACTTAGAAACAAACCTAGTAGCATTGGTTGACTGCAGAGAGAGAACTGGGCAGCCATCGTTAGAGATGGGAGAGATATCTTGTAGTGTTCTTTCTATCTATCTATATATTTATCTATCTTTATTTATTTAGAGGCAGGGTCTCGATATGTAGTCCAGACTTGCCTTGAACTCACTATGTACCTGCCTCAGCCTCCTGAGTGTTGGAATTACAGGCATGTACCACCAAGCCCAGCCTTTTTAAAATTTTTGCTTTGTTTTGTTTTTGGTACCGGGATCGAACTCGGGACTTTGTGCTTGCGAGGCAGGCAGCAGCACCACTGAGCTAAATCCCCAGCTCTATTTTTTTTTTTATTTTTTAAAATTTATTTTTAAACAATTTAAGACTCATAAGAAGTTGTAAAAATAGTACAGAATATGTTCGTAAGACCTGTTTTCTCAATTGTAACATCTTCATAATCATAACACATTATCAAAGCCAGGAAATAAGCACGTGTTTGATTCTGTTAAGTAAACTATGGACGTTATTTGGATTTTACTACCTTTGTATAAATTCAATGTGTGTGTGTGTGTGTGTGTGTGTGTGTGTGTGAGAGAGAGAGAGAGAGAGAGAGAGAGGCAAAATGTATCACTTATCACGTATATAGATTTGATGCATTTGTTACAATCAGAATACAGAATGAGAAACTTTCTGGTGCTGCTCCTTTATAGTCAGACCCCAGCCTTTGCCATTGGCAATCGCTGATCTTTTCTCCTAACTATAATTTTGTTATTTCAAAGGTGTTTTGTAAATGGGATGGTACAGTATATACCTTTTGAAATCGAGTTGTGTTCCTCTTAACATAATACACACTGTTTTTACATGGCTGCATTTCCTTTGGCACTTGGCAGTGGCATTCATATTTTTTTATCATGTGATCTAAGGACATGAAAGAGAACTTCCAGGACTGCTTCAGAAAGTGGTGAGAATGATGGGAGAAATGTGTTTGAAGAAAGGGGAAGTATTTTGAGCGAGATTAGTGGCAATGTCTTGTACTGAAGTAATTTTAAAAATTGAGACATTCACCATATACTTTGATCACGCCTTACATTAATACATTTTTATTGGAGTAGTATTTCATGATGTGCGTATACACAGTGTGCCTTTTCTTTTTTTTTTTTTTTTTTTTTTTTTGAGATAAGGGCTTGCTGTGTATTTTTGACTGGGCTTGAACTCGCTGTGTAGCCCAGGTTGACCTTGATCTCACAGAAATTCTGTGCCTCAGCCTAGCAAGTGCAGGAATGAAAGGCTTGCACCACCACATTTGGCTAACAGTTTTGTTTTTGCTTTTGTTTTGTAGTCTATTTTTGTTGTTTTCAATTTGGAATTATTTTTACAATTTATTTTTTATTAGTGCGTGTTTAGAATTCCCGACATGTGCAGTCATCTTGGGAGCAGTGACATGTACATGTTACAGCATGTTTCTTTTATTATTCAAACCCTTTCCCTTCTCTCCCCTTCCCTCCTCCAGTTCCCTTTTTCTGCGTGTTGATATTATTTGTCTTAGCTCACGCTGTGTGCAGTGTTTACATTAATTAGGGTTACTAGGG